GGCTGGAAAAAGGAGCTCTCATTTAATGCATCAAACGGCAACAGGACTTAGGCAAGCTATCTGTCACAACCAGGTGAACTGCAAATGCCTCTAACTTCTCACACTATATCAATGGTTCATATAGTACGTCCCCATCCAACGACATTGTTTTTCTAACTGAATTTTCTTTTTTGGATGCACTGCCCGGCTTGTGAGGTCTTAGTTCCCCAACCAGGGATTGAACCCAGGCCCTCAGCAATGAGAGCCTGGAATCCTAGCTACTGGACCACCAGGAAGTAACCCCCACCCAACCCCTGCCAAATACATTTTTAAAAAGCTACATGGATGGGGGAGAGGGGAAATGCCAAAATGGACTATAATCAGAAACAAATGAAACAACTATTTCACATAGTCAACATCATCTATGGAAGACAGAGAAATAACCCAACTTTCTAACACAGTAGAGTGATGATGTACCCTTTGGTTGAAGACAATTAAAAATTTAAAACCTGTAAACAAGTATTGTCTCTTAGATTTTCTGGGTCAGCAATTCTGAAACTACATTATGCATCATTTTTTAATCTTTACATTGTTCACATGAAGTCGCTAATATTATTATGTCCATTTTACTGAAGAAGAAACTGATGCACAAAAAGAGAAATAATTCCAGATGATGCACTTAATAAATCACAGAGCTGGGCTTGACCCCAGGCAGCCAGACTGCAGCATACACGGCCTCGACCTTGGCATGTACTGCCTCTCATAGCCCTGTTGCCACCGAGTGGCTTAGTATTAGGGTCCTCTTCGTTGGACAGAAGAGGCACCAGAGGGAAAGCCATGCATCTAACATCACACACCTAGTAAGTGGCAAAGCTGAGCCTCGACCTTGGCATGTACTGCCTCTCATAGCCCTGTTGCCACCGAGTGGCTTAGTATTAGGGTCCTCTTCGTTGGACAGAAGAGGCACCAGAGGGAAAGCCATGCATCTAACATCACACACCTAGTAAGTGGCAAAGCTCTGATTCAAACCCATACCACTGACAGCCGAGTCTGCTTCTATCCACTGCAGTAAGCTGCCAGGAAAGAGTTAGCCAACATTGTAAGACAATGAATAATCCTAGCTGTAGTTGTTACTGAGCTGGAGGTCTTGGTTTGCCCCTCCTGACCACAGTCTAAGCTTCTCCATCCTGCTCTGTGCCCTGGGTGGGTGAGGTGCCCTGTAAGGACCACAGCAATTGGTTCCCCTGCCTTCTGGCTTCCAGCTGGCCTGGGCTTAGGACCAGATACTTAATTTGCAGGGCCCAGTGCAAAATTAAAATGCAGGTCCTTTGACTCAAATGTTAAGAATTTCAAAATCAGTAGAGGTTAAGATTCTGTGCTTCCACTGCAAGGGGCGAGGGTTTGATCCCTGGTCGGGGAACTAAGATCTGACATGCCCTGAAACATGACCAAAAAAAATTAATTTCAAAACTAAGGTGGGGGGTAGATGTATTATTTCCCAGCTCCTCCCTGCAGTAGCAGCCATTTTGTGTGTGTTTTTGATTTTCTTTTTTGTAGTCATTCTTAGAAATATATATATGCACATATGTATATTTTATTTATTGATTTTTATTTTTGGCTGTGCCAGGTTTTCATTGCTATATGGGCTTTTCTATAGTTGTGGTGAGCAGGGTTTATTCTCTAGCTGGGTGCACGGGCTCCAGCAGTTGCAGCTCCCGGGCTCCAGAGCACAGGCTCAACAGTTGTGGCACACAGGCTGAGTTGCTCCTCGGCACATGGAAGCTTCCCGGATCAGGGATCGAACCTGGGTCACCTGGAAAGCCCCTGTAGCCATTCTTGACTAAGGGTTCCTGCTCTTGTCTGGAGACTCCATGCCTCCCCTCACCCTCCCCCCCGGAAGTGAAGGCTCCCTGCTGCTGGCCTCAAGGCTTCCCCATCCCCTGCTCACACCTTGGACAATACTCTCAGTAAGCCCTCTTCAAACTGTCCTCAATAGAGGATGCCTTCTGTTTTCGGTTGGGACCCCGACAGTCGCAGATCCCCATTTGTTGGGAACTCACCACACCCTGGTGCACGACTTTCACTTGGGGCCCTAGGGGGCCTGTGTTGAGGCAGGAATGGGATGACAGAAGCTCAGAGCAGGACTACACTTAGGCCCTGGCTGGGATTTGAACCCAGGTCTATCTGCCTCCCCTGCCCAAGATTTCATCTTGCTCTCTCTTCTGTCTAACCATCCAGGCCACCACTTGTCTCTGCCAGTACTCTGGGCGATCACTCAGAGCAGACCTGGGGCCAGGCCATCGCCACCTGCCCACTGCCTGCCCAGCCAACGCAGTGTGGACCTCAGGCAGTGATGGATTTTTCAGAGACCAGTGAGGGGGTCACCTTCCCCCACTGCGGTCTGGGAGTATCAGGGAGGAAGGCGACTGGGAACTAAACGTGGCCCTGAATGGCCATGGGGTGGCTGTGTGGCTTCGGGAGAGTCACAGACCCTGTCCGTGCTGTGGGCTCCTCACATGTCCAGTGACGATGACCAGGGCCCCTCCTGGTAGGGCTGCTAGAGAGGAGGGCTGGGCTATCTGTGGCGGGCACAGAGCACAGATCGGTGGTTCTCAAAGTGTGGTCTGGGGACTCTCGGGGATTCCCAAGATCTTTTCAAGGCATCTGCAAGGTTTCGACTATTTTTAAAAAATATTTATTTGTTTATTTGGCTGCGCCAGGTCTTAGTCGTGGCACGTGTGATCTTCAGTCTTCATTACGGCATGCAGAATCTCTAACCGTGGCATGCAAACTCTTAGTTGCAGCATGTGGGATCTAGTTCCCTGACCAGGGATAGAACCCAGTCCCCCTACATTAGGAGCATGACGTCTTAGCCACTGGACCACCAGGGACATCCCTAGGTTACAACTATTATTTTTTAAAAAATACTAAGGTGTTATTTGCCTTCCTCACTCTCATTCTCTCCCAGGGGCACAGCAGGGTTCTGCAGAGACTATAGGACCTGTGCTATTGGAAGAGATGGAATGCAGAAGCAGTGAGAATCCAGTGCCTTTTTCATGGCATGCAAGATCTTAGTTCTCCACCCAGGGATCAAACCCATGCCCCCTGCAGTGGAAGCACAGAGCCACTGGACCACCAGAGAAGTCCCTTCAGTGCTCTTTTAAGCCAGGCATGAAACACTGAGAATGAAGCCACCCTTCTGCCTCCATCGTTTTGGAAATTATAGCTATTCTTCGAAAAAGAATGCTTTGGGGATAACATGTGATTGACTGATTCCTTACTGTTGTTTTAAAACAAACCGATCATTTAAATATGTCTCAGTTTTAGGGACTTAGCTCAGCTGGTAAAGAACCTGCCTCCAATGCAGGAGACCCTGATTTGATTCCTGGGTCAGGAAGATCTCCTGGAGAAGGGAAGAGTTACCCACTCCAGTATTCTGGCCTGAAGAATTCCATGGACAGAGGAGCCTGGCGGGCTACAGTCCCACCAGGGGTCACAAAGAGTTGGACATGACTGAGCAACTTTCACTTTCACTGGTGGTCCAGTAGCTAAGATTCTGTGCTCCCAATGCAGGGGGCCCAGGTTCGATCCCTGTTCAGGGAACTGGATCCCATATGTTGCAACTAAGAGCCTGCATGCCACAACTAAAGATGCTGCGTGCTGCAACTAACACCTGTACAGCCAAATAAATAAAAATACATTTTAAAAATATGTCTCAGTTTTAATTTTTAATATAGTAATCATCAGCAGATATAACCCACACAAACCAGTTCTTTGGGATTCTCAGGGATTTGTAAGAGGTATAGGGATCCTGGAGACAAGGCAGTTGAGAACCACTGGGGTGGAGAAAGCGAAGACGACCCTGGCATCTCATGTAGGTCTGTGTTTCTCTTTGCTCCTTTGCCTATCTCTCCAGCAGAATGGGAGCCCCACGATCTGTTTTGCTTATTGCTATATTCTAGAAAAGTGCCTGGTGTGCTGACATAAGTGCTCCATAAAGATTTGCTGCAGAGATAACTGAATAAATACTAACCAGTGTCATGGGCTTTTATTATCAGTCGACTTTTTTTTGCCAGACACCATGTCAAGCACTCTAGAAGCATAATTATGCAGGAGCAGTGAAGAGTTGAGTGACCTGGATTTGGATCCAGGCTCGGCAACTTGCTACCCTGGGCCATAAGTTCACCCCCCAGAGCCTCAGGCATTGTTCCTAAGATGTATGGGCAGAAGTTGTCACACCTTGGGAGGTGAGACCTATATTCGCACCTTCATTCAGCACATCAGTCAGATACTGAGCATCTACTGGCTGCCAGGCTAGAAGCAGAGATAACGCAGACGTGGCCTGTCTTCTAAGAGCCCCTGCTTTGCGATGGAGACGCTGACTGGCTGTGTGTCCCTGGGCCAGGCACTCTACCTTCTGTGTCTGTCTCCTTGTTGGTCAAATGGGAGATAACAATAGTACCGATCTCTCAGGATTGCTGGCGGCAGTCAGTGAGAGCTCAGCAAGGAGGCTTCCTCAGTAAGAGGAAGCACTCCATGAACGCCGTTTGTTCTTGTTGCTGTTCGTTTGCCACATGACATGGCATGAAGGACCTTAGTTCCATGACCAGGGATCAAACCCATGCCCTCTGCACTGGGAGCACGGAGCTGTAACCACTGGATCACCAGGCAAGTCCCAGGAGTGCTGTTATTATTCTGTGTAAAGCCATCCCCCTACCCCTGGGCCTTGGTTTCTCTATCCAGGGAAACAGATGTCAGGGTTCTGGGAAACCCTCAGGTGTGCCTGTAACCTACCTCCTTGGCCCTCAATCTTTCCTCTCCCTTTCCTCTCCTTCCCTAGGGGCGGCGGCTGCTTCCTGTAACTAACTAGCTGGACTGCCTCATATTCCCTTTCTGCTTCCAGCCCTTCTAACACATAACCCCTATCTTAGCCTCTGTCTGAAATACCTCCAGTGGGATCTGACTCTGACTGGGGCCCTACTGTGTTTAGAAAGCCCCCATCCGCATCAGCCAGGCCATACCTGCAGCTTCTTCAGCTGGCTGTTGACAGTGGCCAGGTCCCCACCAGGGTCCACGTCTTGCAGCTGGCTTTCCATGTGAAGGAGCTTCTTGTCCAGCTCCGCGAAGCTCTGCACCAGTTGGTCGGCCTTGCTGGCCTCAAAGAGCTGCCTCGCCTTGGCCTGAGTGGTGCTCTCCAGCTCCGCCCAGCACTGCCGGATCTCGCCCAGCTTCTTCCGCACCGAGGCCGCCAGCTCTGGTTTCTCCTGCATCAGTTGCTGGCCCTCCTGCCCCAGACGATGGGAGGTAGGAAGTCAGAGTGAGGGAGTGGATGGTGGGGAGGGACAGAGAAATACGAGGGCAGCAGATCACAGGGAGAGATATGGAGAGAGAGACGGAAGCAAGGAGTTGAGGGCACATAGAGAGACAAAGACATGGGGGTAGATGCAGAGAAAGCACCAAGCGTGTATGAAGAGAGACGGACAGACAGACAGAGGTGTGGGGAGGAGACAAGACAGACACACAGAGGCATGGGAAGGAGACAGGGAGAAAATAAAGTGATGGACACAGAGATATGTACCAAGTTACAAACATGGCAAGAGGACCACAAGACAGAGAGAGGCAGAAGGAAGAAAGAGAGGGGGAGAGAGGCAGAGAGAACAAACCTCTGTTAAATTCAAAGTCAAGGAGCATGGCTTTGCCTCGTGCCACCATTTATGGGGCACCAGTGACCATTTAAGGGTTTAAGACCCTCTTGGGTGTTTGAGTTAGAATGGTGGGGGGACACAGGGCTGCAGGTCTAGGGGCAGTTTTGGGGGTTGATGTTTACAGCAAAAATCTTCCTGGGTCCCCCCAAGACTGAAGTCAAGCTCTCATATATGTTGGCCTAGAGCCACATATATCATATTACATATTAAAAATAGTAACACCAAAAGAAAAAAAAGTAACACCATAGCAATGACAGCTCTTAGGTGCCTGGCCTTGTGTTAAGTACTTTACGTATACAAGAGCCCAGGGAAGTAGTTACAGTTATTATGTCCTTAATTTTAAAGTAGAGCATAATATTTATGGCTGAGCCCCATCACTGTTCATCTGAAACTATCACAATATTGTTAATTAGCTACACCCCAATATAAAATGTTTTTGGTGTTAAAAAAAATAAGATTAAAAAAATAAAGTAGAGCAAGGTCTATTGGATAGGACAGGGTACTATATTCAATATCCCATAATAAACCATAAAAAAAAATATATATACATCTATACATGTACATACATATACATAGCTGAATCACCTTGCTGTATACCAGAAACTAAGACACTACTGTAAATCAATCATACTTCAGTAAAAAATTAAAAGTAAAAAATAATAAAAAATTAAAATACAGCAGAACAAACTGAGGCTCAAAGATGTTAACACAATTCCCTCAAGGCCAGAGCTGGTAACAGGCATAGACAGAATGAGAACCCTAGGTTGTCCCTGGAAGTCCAATGTTCACTTTAACCCTAGCTTCCTGGGGCTGCCTCACCCCAACTACCTGACTTCTTATTGCAAATGCTCCAAATGGTGTGGAAGGAAGCCTGGAGAAGAGATTATAGGAAGGGGTGAAATATTTAACAGTCATTCAGAAGAGATGCTGGCCATTTTACAGACGGGCAAACTAAGGCTCAAAGAGGTTACATGAATTACTCAAGGCCACAGAGCTAGGAATGGGCATGGAAATGATCTGAAGCAGTTCACAGGTATGAGAAATGCAGGCTGGCAGTGGAGTGTGAAGGAGATGAGACGTGAGTTCCCTGGAGGCCCCTAACCCTGGGTGAGGGCAGAGGGGCTTTCTGCATCCTCACTCTCTCAATCTTCTCCAGCCACTCCTTATTCTGAGCCAGCTCGGCCATGAATGCCTGGTGCCGGAGCCATCTCTTATGCAGCTTGTGGCCGTCCTCCCGTGTGCCGTCCCGCGCCATCAGCATCTTCTCATGGATCCAGCCATCCAGCTGTGTGGAACAGGGAGAGGAGCTCAGCCAATTCTCCACAACCTAGCATAGCCCCCCATCCCCTCCATGATGTCCCCAGTTTGGGGCCTAGGCTTCCAGGACTGGGGAGGGAGAAACCAGTGGGATGGAAGAACCTTTGCAAGTAAGGCCTTCATGGGTGGGGAGGTGGTGGGGAGGGCAGCTTAAGCCCTCTTCTAGGAAGTAGAGGATGGATCAAAGGCTCTCCAGAATGTCTCATCCCTTAGCCCCTGTCCTCAGGACAGCCCTTCTCAACTCCCCATAAGCCCTAAGCTCCAAAGCAGGGTTCCTGGACCAGTCTTCCTACCCATAGCCAAATCAAACCTCCAAACAAGCCCTCCAACCTAATTCAGTTCATTCCCAATTCATCCTTGCACCCCCCACTTAGATCCTTCGATTCCTCTCACCACCTCTAATAAGGACCAATTCAAGATATGCAAATCATTCCCAAAGGTATCAAGTGAAGCCCCCATATCTAAACCCAGACCCCCGATATGGCTAGATGAACCCCTAAAAAAACTTCCAACTAGTGCCAAGTCTGCGTGCTTGTGTTCAGTCGTGTCTGACTCTTTATGGCCCCCAGACTGTAGGCCGCCAGGTTCCTCTGCCCATGGGATTTCCCAGGCGAAAATACTGGAGTTGCCACTTCCTGCTCCAGGGGATCTTCCCAACTCAGAGATGGAACCTGCATCTCTTGCATCTCCTGCATTGGCAGGCGGATTCTTTACCAGTAGCACCACCTGGGCAGCCCCAGTGCCAAGTCTATTTCCCTCCAAACCATCCCTCCCATCTGGGGTAGACCGGTGCCCTGAAACCCAGATCCAGCCTCACTAATGAGCCCACAGGACTCCCCAGATCCAGCCTTGAGGATTCAGGCCAAGACTACAGTTTCCCAAGACCATGATGAGTTCTAGCCCCCAACCAAAGCCAACCCCCCAAATGCAAGCATCAGGGCTACCTTCTGGCTCCCGAAATGAGTCTGCCCCAAAGGAGATACTCCAAATCTAGGATCAGACTCTCCAACAGGGACCAGAGAGAACTTCTGTAGCCAACCCCCATCCCAAACCAAAGCCAGTTCTAGTGCCCCCACTCCCCAACAAAATCAGTCATCCAAACGCAAGCACCAGGAGTGGGCCCTTCTCACTACCCTCAGCAGGACCAATCACGAGGCTGCTTTCTGAGCCACCCTTCCCTTCCAATAAGACTTGTCCCTCAAGCAGGAACCTCCCCACTCATGACCAAACCTGGCACCTGGACAGTTTGCTCCTCCCCTTTCTCCTCCCCCCTCAGTCACAAGATCCTCCTCCTCCCTCTTGGAAAAAAAGAAAAAAACAACCCATGGACTCTAGCTCGCAGTCATAGCCAAGGACAAATTCCCAGTCGGCCAAAACCACTCTGTCCCCTGGGCATGTGCTCCCCAGGGGTCCAGGACAGTTTCAGACTCTTTCACACACACACACACACACACACACACATACAAGCCAAGTCAAATGCTGAATCCTCCAACGCTATTCACAGATTCCCGACATAAGCAGGGAAGAGTTTGCCAATGGCAGTCACAGCTCACAGGGGAAGCAAAGACCCTGAAGGAGAGGTAATCCGTCATCAAAGTAAAGCCCCCCCAAAGTGACTGACCCCCTCATCACTGAAGGCAAAGCCAGAGTCCCAAATAACCTGGGGGGAAAGCCCCCAAAGTCAGAGCACTCCAAACCCAGAGCAAGTCCAAGACCCTCATCGCCCAAGGCAGATCCCGGCAAAAGTGACTCGCCCCCATCATCTAAGGCTAATTCAGATTCCGCAAGAACCANCCTAAAGTGTGGGGTGGGGGGCGGGGGTTCTGCGCCATCTCAGATGATTGGGCTTGGTCCAGAACAATCTAACGAGAGGGGGAAGGGGCTCCAGGACCAAATAGCGGCGGAGAGAGGCTGGGGGCTAGGCTGAAGCCTGGCCTACCCCAGCGATGTGAGGGGGGTGAGGTCGTGGGCTTCTCAATCATCTCTGATGGGAAGGGGCTCAGATTCCTGGCTATCTCAGCTATACAGGAGTGGAAAATGTGGGAGGGGGCCTGGACTCTTCAGTCCAGAATAATCTCTCTGTGGGAAAAAGGCAGGGGACAGGGGGTTCCTGAACCTATCTCTAGTAGGTTCGAGTCCCAGACCCATCTCTAATGAACTTGAGCTGGGAGGAGAGGATGGAAGCCCTTAACCATTTTATGGGGGGTGGGAGTGGGGAGTTCCACGGGGGTTCACCATGGGGGAATCAAATCATCTTTAACTGGGGGGACTGGGACCTGGTTTCTGAACCATCTTTGGTTGCAGGAAACTTGTTCTGTGTCTTCGTGGAGGGGTTACTAATTATCCCGGGTCAGGTAGATAGGTGAAGCCAGGATCATTTCTGTTTGGGATTAGTAAAATGTTTACTGGGCCATCTCTCATGGGGCCATCTCTTATGGGGTCAGAGTCCAGCATAGTTTCTATGGAATGCAAGGGAAGGAGAGAAAAGCAACATTATCTCCTGAGTTGTCTCTAATGAAGAAGGGGATCTAGACCACCTCTGTTTTGGGGAGATCCTAACGGGTGTGCAGATCATCTCCAAAGGGGCAGAGTTTGATTCCTGGACACTTTAAAGGGGTGAAGTCTTGGTCCTGGACCATCTCTGACCGAAGCTGCTTTCTGGATTTCTGATCCACCTGCGCCTCCCCGGATACCCCTCCTTGTCTCTGGTCCCTCTCCCCAGCAAAGCACTTCTCACGAATCTCCTGCAGGAAAGGTGAGATCAGCGCGCGTCCCCGTGGGACCCTTAGGCGCGGACGCGCGTCGTTGCCAGGGGCGCCCAAGGCCCCTCCCTCCACCACCCTCCCCCCCGCGCCCGCGTGGGCGGGGGGAGCTGAGGAGCATGCGCACTGAGGCCAGGATGCGCACGCCTCCTGGCGGTGCCAGGTGAACATCGCTCCGCGACCCACTTAGACGGGGCGTCCCTGCCCCCACCGCGCCTCTGCCCTGGAGCGGAATTCCCTCCCTAGCGAAGAAGTCCCCGTGCCCAGCACAGCTTGGAGTTCAGCTAGAGTTCCTACCTCGTGGCAGTCTCGGAGGAAATGCTGCAGCCCAAGCTGGTCGTGTAGCTTCTGCATCCATTGCTGGGCCCGTAGTTGATTTTCTTGGCTCCTGGGGATGAGGAGATAAGAGTAGGGGGGAAGCCTGAGTTTGGGGGCGCTAGCAGCAGGGCTGTGAGGGCATCGAACTTGGCAGGGCTAGGAACTTGGGGCATATGTACGAGCGAGGAAGAGGAGAGAGCAAAGTGGGGATGTGAGGAAAGGCAAAGAAACATCAGTGGGGGCAAAGCCAGAGACAGCTAGAGAGGACAGAGGGCAGGGAGAGAGGGACATAGACAGGTAGATATCTGAAAAGAAAGAAATAGAGACACTTAGAGAGACACAGACGCAACCCCATAGAGAGAGAGAACAGAGATCTACAGACAGAGTAGGAAACACCGAGGGAGACAAAAACTTAGAGAACAAGAGACACCTAGAGAGAAAGACATATCAAGAGGAAGAGGTAGATTGACTCAGAGAGGCAGAGAAGAATGCAAGGACCTAGAGAGATAAACAGAAACACACGCAAGACCAGAGACATAGAGTGATTTCTCGAGAAAGAGTGATTGACAGAGACTCAGGAAAAAATGAGAAAGAGGCCCAGAGATAGAGAAAATAGGAAAAGATAGAGAAAAAGGAAACAAATGAAGCAGGGGTAGTGCCAGAGAGACAGAGAGGAAGAGAACACCATAGACAAGGAAGCAGAGGGAAAGAAAATGGCTGAGGGAGTCTTGGGAGGGAGGGCCCAGAAAGGGACAGGTAGAGAAGTGGCAAGATGCCACCAGTAAGGTACAGCCAGCCAGGCAGAAGGCTGCAACAGAGTTGGAAAGAGGGATGAAAGCAGAGCCTGGATAGAACAGGGCTGCAGCCATAGGGAGGCAAAGAGAGGCAGGCCCTTGGTCTAAGTGAACTGGCCAGGCTGGACCCAGGCCCCGCCAACCCGGAGCCAGCAGGCATCACAGCCCCAGGCATCCTGGCCTCCTGCCTGCACTGCAGGCAAAGCGCCCAAGAGGCCTGGCAGAGAGGGCTGAAAGGGTCCCACTTTGCTGTGCCTTGAACAAACAACTCCCAGCTCAGAGCGTTGGCTGGCATTGGCTGTTTCCTCTGCCTGGAATGCTCTTCCCCTCAAAGTGTACTTAAATGTCACCTTTTTAGCAAGACCCCTCCTGACCGCTGCCCAACACTTTCTGGCTTTCTTTTCTTCTTTAACATTCTCCTTTGCACTTAGCACTATCCAACGCACTGTATATATCCCCTGTTTATCTTGTGTGTCTCCCCCATAGGACGTCCTTCCACGAGGGCAGGAATTTTCATCTGTTTTGCTCACCCCTGTATTCCCCAATACCTAAAAAGGGGGCCTGGCACACAGTAGGTGCTCAATACATATTTGATGAGTGAAAGAAAGCAAGAGAGACATAGAGGGGACTTCTCTGGTGGCCCAGTGGTTAAGAATTAGCAGGGGACACAGCTTTGATCCCTGGGCTGGAAAGATCCCACATACCACGGAGCAGCTAAGCCCATGCGCCGAAACTACTGAGCCGTCTATCTAGAACTCGTGCTCTGCAACAAGAGAAGCCCATGAGCAGCAATGAAGACCCGGCACAGCCAAAAATTAATTAATTTTAAAAGACAGAGAAAGAGAGACAGGCAGAGAGAAAGAGAGAGGGCAGAAACAGAAGTAAGATGTCTGAGAAAAAGAGAGGCAGCAGAAAAGACAGATGTAGATGTAAGAAGAAAAAACAGGGAGAGAGACGGCAACAGAGATACATAGACGTACAGAGAGATGGAGGCGAAGAGATGGAGAGTGTGAGGAAGTTACAAAGAGAATCAAGCACAGAGCTGAATGGAGGAACATGAAGGGCCAGAGACAAGCAGAATATGGACTCCCTCCTGCCCAGATTCAGCTCAGGAAACAGGAAATGCCTCTGAAATGAAACTGAATTCAGTCCCTCCAGGTCTTCACCAGCCAACTTGTCCCAGGGATGAGAGAAACCCTTTGTCTCCTGGAGGGTGAGAAAACAGCTGTGACCTCTAGCCAGTCTGTTCCCCTCTCTGAACCTTCATGTGCCAAATGCAGACAAAATGGGAGAACATCTTTTCACGCAGGGCAGGGCCAGGTTCCAGGTGAGGTGAGCCCCGTGGGGACAGAGAAGTGACTTGCCCTGAATCTCACAGGTTGAGAGGCAGAGCTGGGACTGGGACCCAGCCCTGTCTGACCCCAGGGCTCCCTCAGATCCCTGCACCTCTTCCATCCCAGACCTGCCCATTCTGCCCATGCTTCCCCCAGCCCGGCCCTGACCATTCTTGGCCATCCTTGCCAGTTGGCATGAGAGCTCTGTGAGGGATGGAATTGTGTTCTGACCCGGTTACCAGGGCATGCCCAGCACTGCCCCACATGGAGCCAGGAACACAGCATGGACTCAGTCCCTGTTTAATTGGCTGAAGAATAAATGAATAAACAATAGAACGAAAGGAGCAAGTAATGACTGCAAAGGAAGAAAGGCGTGACTCAAAAGAACAGCCCTCCAGGTTCCTCCTCCTCCTGATTTTGCAGAGCCTGGTGGAGTAGATACTGAAGAAATGCGAAGGACTTCCCTGGTGGTGGCCCAGCAGTTAAGAGTCTGCCCTGCAATGCAGGGGATTTGAGTTTGATCCGTGGTTAGGGAACTAAGATTCCCACATGCCTTGGAGCAGCTAAGCCTGTGTGCCACAACTAGAGTCCGTGCCACGCAGTGAAGATCCTGTGTGTGGCAACTAAGACCTGATACAGCCAAATAAATAAATAAAGCCAATACAATTTTTTTTTTTAAGGAAACATGGAATAAAAGAAAGAAGGTGCCAGGCCTGGAGTTGGGGACACTAGATCATGAATTCGCTTCCTCAGGATGAGAATCCCCATACAAGTTTCCTTTAGGAAACTCCACCATCCATTTCCCAAAGGGATTTAGGGGAAAAGGATGCCAGAGCCAGAGAGATGAGGGGCGGGGGTCTCAGGACTCTGGATGGTGGTGGAGGGACGGGTTATGATTTCCATCAGGAGACAGAAGACAGGGCAGTATTAGGCTCTTCTCCTGCCTCACTCATGCCAGAGAGGAGAAAGCTGGGGTCATGAGGACGAGTAGAAACAGTGAGGACAGACAGAAGGAAGCAGGCCTGAAGGAAATCCTATAAAGGACTCTGCTTGGTGCTGCTGTTGTTCGGTTGCTAAGTGGTGTCCCATTCTTTGCGACCCCATGGTGACTCTTCAACCCCACGGACTGCAGCACGGCCAGGCTTCCCTGTCACTGCTTGCGGGCTGGAATATTTCTTGGGAAAGGGAGGGGTAGCTGTTTTGCCCAGGTCCTAGAACAGTGCTTGACACACAGTAGATGTTAACATTGTAACAGCCAGTCCTGCTATTCCAGGCTGAGGGCAGGCTTGGGAGAGAAACTTTTCATTGTATATATTTTGAAGCTTTGGGGTTATCAACCGCAAGTTACCTTTTCACCAATGTCAATTTAAATAAAATCTAAGGCAATATGGAATTAAGTAGAAATCGGAGAGAGACACAGAGAGAATTCCCTGGAGGTCCAGTGGTTAGGACTCAGTTCTTCCATTGCAGGGAGCATGGGTTTGATCCCTGGTCAGGGAACCAAGATCCCACAAGCCTCATGGCTCAGCCAAAAAAAACCCAAAGAAGCAGAAATGTGATGGAAGGAAAGGGAATCCTGGCCTCGTCACCCCTCCTCTGTGCTGAATCCCAGCCCCTGGGCCCCTGGGGTCTGAGGGACCTACTTCTCCAGCAGCCGAGTCACAGCCTCCTGGGCCTGCTCCCCGTAGGCGTTGCCCTGTCTCAGCAGGCCCTCGGCAGCCTGCACGGCCAGCTGCATCTTCTGCTGGTTCAGCTCCATCGTGGTGAGGAAATCGCGGTGCCGTTTCAGCGCCTCCTCCACCGACTGCACGGTGCCCGGCAGCTCCTGACCTGACAATGCCATCTCCTGGGGATGGAGGACAGGGGAGGCTCCGGTCGGCCCTGCTCCATCCAGGACCTGGGGGGGGCTGCCAGCCTGCCCAGCTACCAATTTGCTCTTGCCTGCTCACTAGGTTCTAGCATTGAACGTGCCAGGCATGGCCCCACATCAGGTCCTTGTCCCATGCTGTTCCCTCCGGATATCCCCATGGCTGGCTCTTTCACTTTCCTTGGGTCTCTGACCTCTCCACCCCCCTAGGTATCCCTTTACCCTGCCTTATTATTTTTCACAGCATATTTGTTGTTGTTCTTTAACCCCTAAATTGTGTCTGACTCTTTGTGACCCCATGGACTGTAGCCCACCAGGCTCCTCTGTCCATGGGATTTCCCAGACAAGAATACTGGAGTGGGTTGCCATTTCCTCCTCCAGGAGATCTTCCCAACCCAGGGATCGAACTTGTGTCTCGAATCTCCTGCGTTGGCAGGCAGATTCTGCACCAGTAGCACCGCCTGGGAAGCCCCTGTTATCTAAAACGATTCCTAAAAGCTGGTATCTACTCTTGGACTATCTGAAAACCAGGTGTTTTATCTTGTCCAAATACTCAGACTTGGTCCCCATCTCAGAAAGATCCTTGAATTGGATCAGCTGTTCCTGGATAACCATGGCACTTGATTCCTCAAGCCATAATAAATGCAGTGACCCTCTGCAGACAATCTACCATTCCCAAGAAGAAGATAGTCTGCTAATTTAGTCCCCTACAGCCACATAATCCACAATCATTTACTGACCACAAGAATTCCTCAGCCTGAACTACCTCCTGCCATAAACTTCATCCTCTGTTATCCACCCCAAGAGCTTCTTTAAACCCCATTAACCATCACCAATCAAACTCATACTCTTACTGCCTTCCAGATAACCCACAAACCCAGGAAGTCTCTCCAAAGAACCTCCAAGTGCATTACTCACTCAGAACAGTCCACAAACTCTTAGTCACCTCTAAGAGACTAAGACACCTCCCCCTTCGTAATACTCAAATTCTGTTACACACACACCCACACTTGTTCACACCGGATTATTCACAAACCCAGTTATTCATACCAGATACCCGTGCCCCCCACCCACCCCCGCAGCATGAGATACGCCAGGAACCCAGTGGTCCCCGCAAACACACTCCTCCATACAGTTTTCTGTTCCCGAAATCCCCTGCGGCCTCAGACCCCCACCCGTGCCAACCCCCGAGGCGGGCACCTGGTTGCGTAGCACCGCACGCGCCTGGCGTAGGTCGCGCAGAAAGAGCTGGTAGACGTGCGCCTGGACCAGCGCCTCCCTGCGCGCCTCCCACAAGCCGAGCAGCTTGTGCCAACCAAGTTCGAGGTGTGGCAGCCACTCGTCGAGCGCCAGGCCCGGGCCCAGCTCCGCGCCGTCGCCCGCCAGCAGCGCCTCGCTGGCGGCCACGATGCGCGCGTAGTCCTCCTCTCGCTGGTCCACTTCCTCCTTGAGCGCCGCGTGGCGCGCCAACAGCGCGTCTGCCTCTTCCAGGCTGCGGGGCAGGGGCCCCTCGCCGCCGCCCGCTGTCTCCTGGGCGCGCACCAGCCAGTCCAGGAAGGCGTCTAGGTCGTGCAGGAAGCGCTGCAGGCGTCCGGCCGCCGCCACCGCCTCGCCGCAGGCCTGAGCCGCGCTGGCCAGCGCGCCCCACTCGGCGCCCAGTTCCTCCGCACCCTGGTGCAGCCGCGCAGCCTGAGCCGGGAAGCGCACAGCCAGCAGGGCCGCCTCCTCCAGGAGGGCCGCCTGGCGCGGCTCTAGCGCTTGCAGAGCCGCCTCCAGGCCGCTTAGGCGCCACTGCAGGGCGCCGCCCGCGCGGGGCGCGCTCTCCACTGCCCTCCGCTTCTCGCGCACCTGGGCGCGCACCTCCGCCACCTCCAGCACGTGGTTCTCCACCAGCAGCACCGCGCTCACCTCTTCTTTGCGCTGTTCCACCAGCTCCACAATGCGGTTCCACCTGCCCAGGAGAAGCAGGGCAGCGTAAGGAAGACAGAAACACTCCCTTGGGTGCAGAGGGCCCATCGACCCTGGGTGGAACCCAGCCACTGTGTGACCTTGGAATGTCATCCTTATCTCCCCGAGCCCCAGTTCCTGCCTGTGTAAAATGGACTCTGCCAGGCACATTTGCTTAGAACAGCGGTTCTCAAAATGTAACCTGAGCGAGGGCAAAGCTATCTTCATCAAAATGCTAAGACGCTATTTGCCTTTTCACTTTCATTCTGTGCCGAGTGTACTGTGGAGATTTCCAGAAGCTACAGGAAAAAGACTGATTGCAGAAGCAGACCTAAGTACTCAGCTGCCTTCTCTTAAACCAGACATTAAAGAGGTGTGCAAAAATGCAAAACAGGGGCTTCCCTGCTGGTTCAATGGATAAGACTCCCAGCCCCCAATGCACGGGGCCGGGTTCCATCCCTGGTGGGGGAACTAAGATCCCACATAGGCAACTAGAGAAGCTCTCACCTCAACAAAGACTCAGCAGAGCCAAAGTAAATAATTTTTTTTTAATGCAAAACAACACCATTCTTCTTGCTACATTTTTTGTTTTGAAAAATAGTCACTTTTTCATTTAAAAAGTTATGTTACCATAGTAAGTTTATTATTATTTTAACGACTTGCTATTTTACATTACTCAGTATTAATTTCTAATATAGTAAATGCTGACAGACATAACCCATTAAAACAAGCTCTTTGGGGGTCCTTAATTGCTTTTAAGCGTGCAAAGGGTTCTGGAACCAAAGAGTGTGAAACCTGTTGGCTTATGATGTCAGAAAATATGTTGGATGCAATAAATAGTAGTTGAGCATGTACTATAAGCCAGGTGCTGAGTCAAACCTATTTTATCCTAAAATAAATTTATGGGATTTCCCTGGTGGTCCAGTAGTTAAGACTCCACACTGCCAATGCAGTGGGCACAGGTTTGATCCCTGGTCAGGGAACTAAGATCTGTAGGCACCATCAAAAGATTCCTTTTTTTAAAAATTTGTTCTGTGCCCTCAAGCAAGTGATGATACTGCCTGACACTGTCAAGCTCAGAGTAAGGTCTGAGCTATGTACCCTTTGGTTGGCAACATTCTCTGTGCCTCATTTCCCCACCAGCAAAATGCACACAATCATAGCACAGTACCAACCTCACAGGGGTGCAGTGAGAGTCAAATGAGTTATTAATATGATTCATGAAGCACTTCAAACAGTACCTGCTAGCGAGGAGTGGAGATACACTTCAGGACCACATCAAGCCCCTATATGCCTCAGGGCCTTTGCCTTGGCTGTGCTCGTGGCAGGGAATGCTTTGTACCCTCCCTCCCCTCCCCCATATATACTCTTGGTTAAATCTTTTTCATCCCCTTTGAGGGCCCAGTTCAAAATGTCATGGTGCACACCAGCCCATGACCAGATCTAAAATCACCCCCAAGCCCCAGTTATGCCCTATCAGATCACTCTATTTCCTGCGTTGTTTTGTTGTTCAGTCGCTAAGTTGTGTCGGACTCTTTGTGACCCCCTGGACTGCAACACACTAGGCTTCCCTGTCCTTCACTATCTCCCAGAGTTTGCTCAAACTCATGTTCGTTGGGTCGGTGATGCCATCCAACCATCTCATCCTCTGTCATCCCCTTCTCCTGCCCTCAATCTTTCCCAGCATCAGGGTCTTTTCCAGTGAGTCGGCTCTTTGCATCAGGTGGCCAAAGCATTGGAGCTTCAGCTTCAGCATCAGTCCTTCCAATGAATATTCAAGGTTGACTTCCTTTAGGTTTGACTGGTTTGGTTTCCTTTCATGAATCTTTACTACAATTCTCCAAATATCTTGTTCTTTTATTGTTTATTTCTTGACTCTCTCTCTCTGACCCCTCTAGAATGGACACAGCATAAGGGCAGAGATTAGGACTCTGAAATCAGAAGGGTTCAAGTTCAAATTCTGCTCTGGCTAGATTCACCATGTGAACTTGGGCAAATCATTTTCATCTCTGTTTTCTCATTTGAAAAAAGGCAGATAATTATGTCCATTTCACTGGGTGTTTAATGAGTCTTGTGGCTAAAGTACTTGGTGCATCATCTCACTAACTGCCATAAATCACTAGCTGTCATTATCTTTTTAGGACCTGGTGCCCTGGGATTGTTGAGGATACAGAGGCTTGGAAATCACTGGATATTGGGATCTCACAGCACAGCAGTTAAGGGCACAAATTCAACTTTAAATTCAGGCTTGAGCCCCACCTAATTTCCCATGGGACCTTAGACCACCTTTACCTCTCTGAGCTCCTGTTTCCTCCTTTCTTATATGGGTATTTACACCCCCACAGAGTTGCTGGGAAGACTGCATGTATGTGGTCAAGGGCCTCAGCTCTGGATTCAGACAGAACTGAGTTTGACTCCTGCTTACTCGATTGAGTAATCCTGGATAAGGAATTCACCTCTCTGGATCTGTGTGTTCATCTATGACTCCTACCTTGCAAGAACTACTTGTAGTGTTCCAGGGGGAAAGATTTAATTGGTTACTATTCTTAAAGAGTTCTGAATGCTGGAAACTTTACTATAGCAATTGGGATATTGGGAGATTTTAAAAAGTGCTTGAAAAATTCCTGGCAGCTATTGGATTCTCAATAAATCATTTCTGAACAAGTAAATTAAGAGCCCATTGAAATGTACTCTGTTCTCATTTTACCACATCATAACTAACACTGGGTATTATCTTTTTTTCCCAAGATTTTGCGAATTGACTAGGCAGCCTGAAGCCTTTATTCACTAGAAGGACTGATGCTGAAGCCGAAGTTCCAACACTTTGGCCACCTGATTCAAAGAGCTGACTCACTGGGGAAAGACTCTGATACTGGGAAAGATGGAGGGCAGGAAAGGAAGGGGGCAACAGAGGATGAGATGGTTGGATGGCATCACCAACTCAATGGACATAAGTGTGAGCAAACTCTGGGAGATAGTGAAGGACAGGGAAGCCTGGTGTGCTGCGGTCCAGGGGTCGCAAAGAGCTGGACACAACTTAGTGACTGAACAACAATAACAACCTTATCATCTCAGGAATTTGAATGGACACATTCTTGACCTCTAGAGTTGAGTGACTGAGGAAAAGGATGATAGGAGGCACTGGCCTGGGACCCAGAAGGACTTCCAGCCCCAGGCTTCACCTACCTGCTGTTGAGATGGTCCTGGCAGGAGCGCACCTCATCTGAGCTGGGGTGACCTCCTTCCACCAGTTCCTGAACTGTGTGGTTCACATCCAGGACACGGCCCATCAGACTGTTCATCTCCTGGTCCAGACTCTCAAATCTGCGGAAGAAGATGGACACGATCAGTGGGGCCTGGCCCCTGGGGACTTGTTCACTGGCTTCTGTGAAACTGCCTTCTCCTGGTTCTCCTCTGAACTCTCAACCTCATCTCCTCAGGCTCCTCTGCTGGCTTCTGTTCTTCTGCCTGCCACTTAAGCGTTAGGTCCCTCAGGGCTCTGCCCTGGGCCCTCTCAGCTTTGCCTCACATCCTGCCTCATCCATCTCACCCAGCCCCACAGCTTCCGCCCTTGCCCCCGAGCCCGTCAGTCCCACATCTGTCTCCAGCCTCAACATTATCCCTTTCGAGCCTGTCCCCCACCTTAAAGCCCACTGTGCTCTTTCTCTGGGCTCTTTGCTGTGACTGACACACGCTTCAACATCTCCCGCAGTTTGTTCTTCCTCTGGGTCTCCATCCCAGGGACAGCTCCCCTCCCTTCCCTCTCCCCACAACCCCGGCCAATCCCTAGGCCAGAGCCCTGGGCTCTGTTTTGGACAAATACTCCCCCCAAGCCTGTCTGCCCCCCACGGCCTGTCCACTTGGGTTCCTGCCCTGGTCCAGTCCTGTCATCTCCTACCTGAGCCCCCACCCTAGCTGCCTCTCTTCTCACCCCCTTCAGCCCACCCTCTACATGGCAGCCAGGGAGAACCGTTTTAAGCTGGCTATGGTCTTCCCTTGTTTAAAACAATGCCCAAGGCTATGGCTTGGGTAACTGTGGGCACAGCAACAGCGGGGACCAGGCCTGTGTTTCCAGCAATGCCCAGCCCAAGGCTTGGAACAGAGCAGGGGCTCAATAAGTATCCGCTGAATAAGCGGATGGATGAACATGATCAGAGAGAGAGGTGCAGAGGGTCCATCCACTAACTTAATGACCCATCTCTAAGTCTGCCAACAGATAAATCAGTATCTAGTATGACCCAGGGTGGTAACTGCTATGAAAAAATGTAAAGTGGGGTGAGGGAAGAGAAAGTGACAAGGGTCAGAATGGTTTTATTAGTTGGGAAGGTAACATCTATGCAAGGGGTAACATCCTTCCAATCTAGGGATGGGAGTCCCAGGGGAGGCATCATGCTGGGCCATCTCTGGAGGTTAATTTCTGGAGGTTAATATAGCCAGGTGACTATAAGTCTCACAAGAATAGCAGGAAACGCCCCTGGAACGCTCCCTGAACCCAGGCATTTGCTAACTACTTTGCACATATTAACTCATTTACTGTTCTCCAGGAGCCCATGAGGTTGGGACCAGTAAGTATAATTCCCATTTTGCTGGGAAGATGCCCTAGAGAACAGAATTGCAACCCCACTCCAGTATTCCTGCATGGGAAACCCCACGGACAGAGGAGCCTGGTGGGCTGTACAGTCCAATGGGGTCGCAAAGAGTCGGACCCGACTGAGCGACTAAGCGCACACACACTGGTTCCAAGTGAGTGAACATGGGAAAACTGTCGAATCAAGGAAATCGAGACTGCGTGTGGGACGAAGGGGACTGAGAGTCCCACCGGTGCGCGCTCACCGGTGCTGCACCACCTCGACGTCGTCCAATGAGTCGGGCACGCGCATGGCCAGCAGCCACTGCTCCTTCTCCCCGATCCACAGCTCGCACGCGTGCACCTCGCCGAACATGCGGTAGACAGCGAGGGCATCGCGCAGCCACTGGCGCCGCAGCGCAGCCACCTCGGTCACCTCGGCGAACAGCTGCTCGGCCTCCACCACGCGCACCTGCAGTGCCACCACCAGGGGCCCGGCGCCGCTGGCGCCCCCCAGTGTCGCCAGCTGACGCCGCAGGCCGCCCACCGGCCCGCGATGCGCCTCCACCTCCCCAGTGAGCGCGCGGTGCTGGCGGGCCAGGCGGCGGCTGGACGCTTCGTCGTGGCCGAAGTCGCCGGCGGCTGCCAGGCGGTAGGCGTCGCGAAGCCAGTCCAGGAGCCCGTCTAGGTCCGCGCCGAACTGGTGCAGCGCCCGCGCCTCCTGCAGCCGCCGCTCGCGCCTCGCCACGCCGCCGCCGCCCGCCGCCTCCAGGAGGCGCTCCTTGTCGCGGGCCCAGCTCTCGGCTTCCTCCAGCTCCTGCAGCAGCGCCCACAGGCTTCGCGAGGCCTCCAGCTCCGCGCGCCGCCTGGCCGCCTGCTCCTGCAGCTCCGCCAGACAGCCGTGCACGTGGTTCACGCGGTTGCAGATGACCTGCGGATCGCAGGGCTGGTAACCTGGGCCACGGAAAGGGGAAGATCCCAGGTTGGGCACGGACCAGGAGCCGCCCAAGAGAGGGTGGTACAGACTATCTGCCGAGTCCTTGGCCCGACTTCATCAGATGTCAGGTTATGCGTCCCCTCCTCCTGGCAGCTTTCCCCAACACCTCAAATCTGGAGCAGGCACCTTACCAGGCTCGCCCAGGCTTCTTTGTTTCCCCTATCCCAGCGCGGACCACTCTGCCTGTGACTCCCTCATCCTACCTCTGACCCCTCTGGGCTGTGGCAAACAGTCTGTCTCTCCCATTGGAGTGGGAGCCCCATAAGGACAAGACCTGGTGCTGTCTCCATCAGACTATGTTCCCACCACTGCCCAGCACATGGTGGAGCCCAGAGCAGTAGCTTAGTGAAAATGGTGACTTACTGACTTAAGGAAGGTTGCAAATGGAGACTCAGAGAATCCTAGAATCTTTATATTTTAGTGTAAGTGCACAGTGTCTTTCCTTCAGAAATTGACAAAATGAAGCCTCTCTATTCTTAACCTATGTATTTGACTCCCCTCTCTCATCCTTTGTCATCTTATCTCTTAACCCAGTGATGATCTAAACTTCTCTTTATCGTCAAATATTTCCTCCTGGACCTCTTAAAGAACCTGCCTGCAATGGAGGAGCAGCAGGAGACGTGGTTTCAATCCCTGGGTTGGGAAGATCTGCTGGAGGAGGAAATAGAAACCCACTCCAGTATTCTTACCTGGAGAATCCCACGGACAGAGGAGCCTGGCAGGCTACAGTCCATGGGGTTGTAAAGAGTCGAACATGACTGAAGTAACTTAGCACACATGCACACACCTGGATCTCTAGTTTGAGAACTGTGAGATTAACTTAATGGGTGGCAGTCAGCATTTCTTTAATGGAACAGAGTAGAATGAATAGAAAATATGAGAAGTAAGGGGAAGCATTGTTTTCCAAAGGCTTTGTGTCTCTGTGTGTTTCTCTGTGTGTCTGCACATGTGCCTGTGAACTGTGGGTCATGAGGTAAATGTATTTCTTACGGGGTCAAAACAGTGGGAGAGACACTGCCCTAGATGGCATGTGGGGTTTATGCATTGCTGGACATTCACTGAAATTGACCCAAATTCCAAGGCACCCAACTGATAAACATCAATGGCGTCCATGTATCCAGCCCTTACTCTGACCCAATGTCACTGAGTTCTCACAACCATCCTATGAGGCCAGTATCCTCCTTAGCTCCATCTTGCCGATGAAGAAACTCACACTCAGGGAGGAAAGCTGCTTGCTCAGGATCAGCTAAGAAGTGGTACATCAGGAGGCCAACTCTGGACCACTTCGCAGGCAGAGCTGCCTCCCATCACCATGACAACACACACACTACTGCCTCCCATCACCATGACAACACACACCCCATACTAGCCTCTTTGCTGTTTCCACGGCACTGCTGGCGCATTATCACTGGGCGCTGAGATCTCACAAGGAAAAGACAGGGGGAGCCTCCTGGACAAACATCCATAAGAATGAAGCATGAAGGATGACGAATGAATGATGTCTCTTGGGGTTGTGAGGTTGGTGATGGACTGAGCTAGGATAGGGATGCCTGTGCTGGGGCTTGGAAGGAGACCTTAACATTTGCTCTTAGGACATGACCCAGCCCATGAGAGTGAGAAACTCCCCCGACCATCCTGCAAGCTGGAGTGTGTGTGCACGCTGGGCTCCTCTGTCTGTGGAAATTTCCAAGCAAGAATATTGGAGTGGGTTGCCATTTCCTCCTCCAGGGATCTTCCCAACCCAGGGATCGAACCCACATCTCCTGCAGTGGCAGGAGGATTCCTAACCACTATACCACCTGGGTAGCCCCTGAAAGCTGGAGAGCCTCTTCAATATTCTAACAATGCACCAGGATTCCCAAGGGCCTTAGCTCCTGATAAAGGAATGAGATAGATCAGCCTCCAAACCCTCTTATCAGTTCTGCACCTCTGAACCTCAGTTTCCTCATCAGTGAGAAAGAAAAAAACAGTATTGATGCTGTCAGCGCTCATACACAGCTGCACAAGACAAAACATCAGATAAGACCACTCAGCAGGGCTTCCTTGGTGGCTCAGTGGTAAAGAATCCACCTGCCAATCCAGGAGACATGGGTTCGATCCCTGCTCCGGGAAGATCCCACATGCCACAAAACAGCTAAGTCCATGGGCCACATTAAGCCTATGCTCCAGAGCCAGGGAACTACAACTAATGAAGCCCATGCACCCTAGAGCCCATGCTCAGCAACAAGAGAAGCCACCACAATGAGAAGCCCACGCACCACAGCGAGAGTTGCCCCCATTCACCACAACTAAAGAAAAGCCCGCACAGCAACCCCATACAACCAAAAAATAAATAGATAAAATCATTTTTTTAAAAAAAAAAGACCACTCCACAATCATGATGGAGACAAGACCATTCCACAATCATGTGTGAGTGCACACAAAACAAGGTCACTGTGCAAACCACAAAACAGTCACCTGCCTGCCCACCCACTCCTGGCCAAGGTGAACCACTCCTGCCAATCATGTTCCTCCCACCACCTGGTTAAAAATGATTAAGATGCACAATCATCTAATTACCCCACTTCCTGACAGCATCCAACCTGCAGCAAAATACACTACGTTAAATCATCCCAAATCACCTAACACAAGCCCACGTCCTACAATAAGCCCCTCTTAACATCCTCTTACTAAGATGCCCCATGGTCCCCACACTCCCATGCATGCAAATTAAGCTTGATTTGACTACAGCAGGGTTCCTAGTGGTCTTTAGCTGGAGGGTGTTGACATTACTAAAATGAGAACATTTCTAGAGTCAGTCTAAGTTTTTGCCTATTGGCATCCATGCCCCTGCTTCTGCTAATGGCATCCCATCCCTGCCCCCTTCTCAGTTCATGTCTTTGGAGGGAGCTGATCCCACTCTTGGCCTTGGGTGAGCATGTCACATAGATGTGACCAATTAGATCATGTACATAGCGCTGGGCCATAATACTTGGCTGAGTGGTGGGAATGGAACCCACCATGGGCTAATGAAAGTTTTCCTTGGGCTTTTTGCCAGAATATTGGGAGAAAGGGGCCTGTCTCTTGCTGGATCTATGAAGCTGCTGGGATGTAAATGTGGGCTAGATGGTCCCAGATTTACACCACAAGGGGAGGGACTGTCCAATAGTGACACAAACATAAACACTAGAGTTGGAGAGAGGTGGAGTCTTAAAAGCATCATTGAACTATTCCTGGATCCAGCCATACCTGAAGCAAAACTCAACCCTTCTTACACATTTAGTTGCATCAGCCAATACCTTCCCTTGTTCTCCTTAAGTTAATTGAAATTGAGTTTCTATCACTTAATGCGAACAGGCCTTGACAATAACTGCCTTACCCAGTCTTTGTATGGCATTCACAGAGACCCCGCTGTGAAAGGCTTAGCACATAACAAATGCTCAAAAAATGTGAACTATTATTGCAGAATCTTGAAGCAGGAAGAAGTCATGTGGGCCAGCCTTGCACCCAAGGCACTAATTTCCCATGTGATGTCCCTGATGGAGTGTGATCCTAGTTGGTGTTTGGATGCCTCCAAAGATGGGGAGCTCACTTCTTCATCTGTATCTCAGGAGACATTCTGCTTCTTTTATTTTTTTGACATTCTGCCTCTATTAGCACAAGCCCTGAAAGTCTCCACCCCAGTCCTCAACCCCAGACTCACCCTGCAGCTGTGAGAAACGCAGGGCAGCGGCATTGAGGGCCTCCACCCGCTCACTCTGGGCCGCGATGTCCCCCTCCAGCAGTCCATGCTTCTGCAACAGGTCCTCCGCCTCCACCAGGTGCTGCCCACACTCCCGGGACAGCAGCTGAGCCTACAAGTGAGAGCTGCCCTGAGTGTAGCTTTGGCATCAGCCCGCAGGCCACTCTCCCTTCCACCCACCACCCACGCCAGCCTTCGCTCCTCTACTCCATCACTTGAACTCTGATCTCTGTCTCAGACTCCTTGTCTCTGTCATCACCTCTCTCCATCTCTCTCTCTGGATGTTCAGTCTCTCATCGTCTCCATAGTTCTGGGCTCCGTCTCTCTCTCTGCCTTCATCCCTTTCTTGTTTATATTTCTCTGCCTCCATCTCGATTCCTATCTCTTTCTCCCCATGTCTTGTGTCTGTATCTCTCTCTCTGCTTCCATCATCTTATCTGCATCTCACTCTGTATCCATCTCTCTCTCTCTCGTAGGTCTCTCTCTTTTTCACAAATGGATTCCATCTTCCTGTGTATCCTTCTCTGTAGCCATTTTTTAATAGATTTCTGGCGATACCTTTGGGTCTGCTTCTCCAGCTCTTTCTCTGATTTCTTCCTCTGAAACCGTCTGAATCTTCCTCTGACTTAACCTCCATCTCTGTCTGTCCCTGCTTGTCTCTGTACGACTGTATCTTTTATCTCTCTATTTCTCCAGATATTTTTCTGTCTCTCATACATTCTTCCTCTGCCTCTGTGTCTCTCTCTGTCTCTTTCACTCTTTTTGTCTCCCTTTCTCTTTATCTCTTTCTGTCTCTCTCTTCTCTCTCCATCTTTGACAACTCTTTCAGGGTAAAGATCCCTCCCTCCTCTCCAGGTATGCCACCCCCAGCACTGGTCCCCGATCTGGCCCCTACCTGCATCTCCTCCATCCAGTCCACCATGTACACCATCTCCTGGAAGACCTTCTGCAGAGCCAGGTTCTGCTCGAGTCGTGTCCGCCGGGCACCTACCAGCCCAGTCAGCAGGGCCCACTGGCGCAGGACACTGTCACGCTGGGCTGCCACCCGGCGGGCATCATAGTAGCCTTCAGTTGCCAAGGCCTGGGCCAGCTCTGCCACGCCCTGCACCCGCTCCTCATAGGCTGCTATGTCTGCCTCGATGGCTTCGTGCTTCTTCATGGCTGCCTCCACCGCTGGCAGCTCATACCCAAAGTTGTCCTGGGGCAGGGCAGGCCACAGATGCTCATCCATAATGACTCAGCAGTTAACCTGTTACCTTGACCCTGTGTGACCCTGGAAACTCCCCTACCTGCTCTTGTTACCCTGGAGACCAGTCCCATCCTTCCCTGTTACCCTGGAGATCAACCCCATCACCCCAAGTTACCCTGCAGACCATCTCCAATCTTCCCTGTCACCCTAGAGACCAGCCCTACCATCCCCAGTTACCCTAGAGACCAGTCTCATAATCCCCCAGTTACCCTGGAGACCAACCCCACCATTCCCTGTTACATCTCTAACCCTAAATTTGTTACCCAGGAAACAAGCCCCATCCTTCCATTTCCTTAGAGACTGGAGACCAGACCTACCCTATCCTGTTGCTTAGGAGACCAATTGTAGCCTTCTGAGTTACACTGGACACCTGATAACAACCTCCTTTGTCACTTAAGAGATAATTAACTACTCTCCCTATTTCTGAAGAGACTAATTCTGTCCTTTCTAGTTACTCTGGAGACCTGCCTCACTCTCCTATTACCCTGGAGAGCAGGCCCACATCCCTCCTCCACCAGTCACTTAGGAAGCCAATTCTCCCATCCCACCTTCATTTGTCACCTAGGAGACTAATCCAACACTTCTCTGTTGCTTAGGAAATCAAGAAGTCTCCCTTTCTGGTCCCAGGGCCGTGAGCCCCACCCTTTCTCCCTTTCCCCCCCGGAGCCAAGCCCTTCGCCCCGTACCTGGGAGACCAGGCGCTGGTTCTCATTCAGCCAGCTCTCCCGCATGGCCACCTTGTGGTCAAACCTCTGGGCCAGCAGTTCCAGCTTCTCCTGCCGGATCAGCTCGGCCCGGAGGGCAGCCTCTCGCTCATGTTCTGCCTTCTCCAGTTGTCCCCACGCCTAGAGAAGCAGTCAGATTCCAACAACTCAGAACTTCCCTGGTAGTCCAGTGACTGAGACTGTGTCCTCCCAATGCAGGGACCCTGGGTTCCATCCCTGGTCAGGCAACTAGATCCCACATACAGAAACTGAGTTCACATGCCACAGGTAAGATCCCACATGCTGCCATGAAGACCGGGGGCAGCCAAATAAATAAATAAGATTCCAATAATTCCCCACAGTTTAATGGCCTTGGCTTCTCTGTCTGAGGTCATGCTCAGCACTTGTGGCACCTTTGCACACACTGGAAAAAAAAAATCTTGCTTCCTTGTGACCCTTTACTGCTGGAAAAACCATTAGAATGGATGTCAGATCCATGACATCTACAATGTGAAGGGCTCCCTTGAGCAGTGCACAACCTATACAACCTCACAGGGCAACCCTTCCTCTGCCCTACATCCTCAGCCTCACCTTGTCAATATCCCAGATGCCACAGCCCTCCCGGGGCACGTAGAGACGACGGTTGCAGGCCCGCAGTTTGCTCTGGATGCTGAAGAGCAGCACCTCCAGGTTTCCCTTCTCCTGAAACCTGAAGGGGCCTGAGCTCAGGAACCCTGCCTCCACACCTCCATCTGCCACCCTCCCTGTTGAACCAGGCCTCACTTGACAGGCTTCTCCAGCGTGCAGTAGGCCGTGAAAGCCTGAAGCTGCTGCTGCACCCCACTTAATGAGTTGGCAAACTTCTGGTTGCTGATGAGGCCCACGGTGCGGTGGATCCACGCCAGCAGCTCGGTCGCCAGCTCCTCATAGCGCTCAATGATCTTCCCCACTTCCAGCACCTGGTCCAGGACCTGACCCGGCAGAGGAAGGGAGGGGGGGTCAGTCTTATCCCAGATACACCCCCGTATGGTTCCCAGGCTCCCACCCACCCCATTCCTGGGCTCCTGTACCTTTCCAATCCGTTTCCCCTCCACAGCCAGAGCCTTCATCTTGGAGAAATAATGGTAGAAAGAGACCACATAGGTGATGATGGACTTCTCATCTGGAGCCTCCATGTTCACATCTGAGGGGTAAAGGAGAGAGAGAGCATGACGATGAGCACTCTGACAGAGATCAAACATACCAGGGAGAGGCTGGGAGAACTCAGTCTTCCTAGCTGTGTGACCTTGGACAAGATAAGTAACCTCTCTGTTCCTTAGTTTGTCTTTTTTTTGGGGGGGGGGGGAACCACACCAAGCAGCATGTGGGATCTTAGTTCCCTGACCAGGGGTCAAACCTATAATCCTGCAGCAGAAGTGTGGAGTCCTAACCACTGGACCACCAGGGAAGTCTGCTGTTGTTCCTCAGTTTTTTAATCTGCCCAGTGAGGATCCATTTCATGGATTAAATAGTGCCTGACACATATATACCACCATGGAGGAATTATATATAGTGATTTCTTGGACACACCATTCATTCTACTATCCACCTCAGGGCCTTTGCACATGCTGTTCTCACTGTCTGGAACACTGTTCCATTTTCCATGTGCCAAACTCCCACTCACCCATCAGGGCTCCACTCAAGTTTCCTCAAATAAGCCTTCCTGTTCATCCTGTCTAGACCTGATCTCCTCCTGTTATTCTTCCTCATGGCCTCTTATCATTTCCTCCTAGAATATATAACAATTTATAATTGTGTGTGTGTGTGTGTTAGTAGCTCAGTTGTGTCTGACTCTTTGCAACCCACTAAGCTCCTCTGTCCATGAAATTCTCCAGGCAAGAATACTGGAGTGAGTTCCCTTCCTTAGAGGATTGAACCCAGGTCTCCCGCATTGCAGGCAGATTCTTTACCATCTGAACCACGAGGCAAACCCAATTTCTAATTACACATTGCCTTATGTGATTGTGTCTTTATCGAGTTTGAGCTCCATGAGGACAAGGGCTATGCCTGTCTTTTACCACTGTCCCTGCCATGCCCAGCACACAGCAGAAGCTCAATAAATACATAAACTAAGTATATTAATGATATATGAAGTTTGAGGTCAAAGACATGGGCTTTGAAGGCAGCCTGAGCTTGAATCCTAAATCAACCACTTACTCACTCAATATTCTAATAAAATAGATCGAACTGCTCTGAGTTCAGTTTCCACATTGTTACAGTAAGGATAGTCACAGTGCCTGCCACCTAAGAACACTATGAGTATGAGAGAGAATACTCATAGTGGAGAATACTCAGAGTGGCATAAAGGAGAAACTCAATAAATCCTGATTATCATTTCAATTTACCCACTGAATGCATAGCATCATACTTGGCCCTTATTCTTCTTCACCTCATAAAACTGACATCCAATAAACACCCACTATGTGCCAGGCACTGTAAGAGGCAGGGCAGAGGAATGATTAAGTCCATGAATTCTGGAATCAGAAAGTACTGTTTACTGGGTTTTCGGTGTGATGCTAGATGAGTGACTCCACATCTCTGAGCCTTCCTTTCTATCAGTTTAAGACAGGATTGATGACTTCTTTCCAATTGAATCAGTGTGAGCATGAAAGGGAACAGTGTTGACACAATTTCCAGCCATGTGCCTGGCTCACCATAGGTGTTCAGAAAAAGGAAGCAACCATTATTCCAGATACAGAGAATTGGTGGGGTATGATCATGGCCATTACCCTAGAGATGGGGGGCTGGTATTGGGTGTGACCATGAATTTGGAATGAGGTTGAAGTCAGGGGTGGGTTGGGGACAGACTGAAAATGGGAAGGGGTTGGGAATGAGGGCAGAGCTGTGCATGCGAGCAGAAATATGGATGGGCTGGGGATGGGAATGAAGATGGTGTTGGAGATTGGGTTGGGGGTGGTGTTGGCTTTAGGGATAGGGCTGGGGTTGGGGGGGTTGGGTTTGGCAGGGAGGTGATTAAGGATGGGGTTGAAAGTGAAAGCTGCTCAGTCATGTCCAGTCAAGTCCAACTTTTGGGGATCCCATGGACTATACAGTCCATGGAATTCTCCAGGCCAGAATACTGAAGTGGAGAGCCTTTCCCTTCTCCAGGGTATCTTCCCAGCTCAGAGATCAAACCCAGGTCTCCCACATTGCAGGTGGATTCTTTACCAGCTGAGCCACAAGGGAAAACCAAGGTTGGGGTTGGGACTGCTATATTTAAAATAGATAACCAACAAAGACCTACTGTATAGCACATGGGACTCCACTCAATGTTTGTGGCAGCCTGGATGGGAGGGGAGGATGGGAGAGGAGTTTGGGGGAGAAGGGATACATGTATTTGTATGGCTGAGTCCCTTTCTGTTCACCTGAAACTCTTGCTATCACAACATTGTTAATTGCCTATAACCCAATACAAAAGTAAAAAGTTAAAAAAAAAAAAAAAAGGATGGAGTTGGGGAAGGAGGGGTAAGTTGAACATAGGAATGGAGATAGGGTTGGGTTTGAGACAGAGATGAACAGGAATTCCTTGGCAGTCCAGTGGTTAGGACTACAGGCTTTCACTGCCAAGGGCACAGGTTCAATCCCTGACTGGGGAACTAAGATCCAGCCAGGCCCACAGCATGGCCAAAAAAAACAAACAGGTAGAGATGGAGAAAGTAGAAGATATGGGGCCCGGAAGGGGGTAGGATTGGTGATGAGGAAGAGGTGGGGACTGGGAGGGAGTTGAGTTAGAAATGATCTTGGGCTTTGGGCGGGTGCTGCCGTTGAGTTTGGGGCAGCATTGGATTTGGGAGTCCCCCAGGAGGAAACCCAGGCTGGGGCCATGCAGGGCTCACCCTCAGGGTCCAGGAGACGTGCCAGCCCCAAGTGCTGCTCAGCCGTGCGGAAGGCTCTCTGCAGGTTGTAGTTGGCGTTGGACTTGGTGAGCTTGCTGAAGTCCACGAGATCGGGCCTGGGCAGGGGCACAGAGCAGGCAGGCAGCAGGCAGGCTCCAAAGCCGGAGGGCAAACGGGTGAAAAGACATCCTTGTCTGAGTCCCACCCAGGGCGAGGGCAGGAGGAGCACAACCCGGCCAAGGGGAAAGCCGTGTGCGCTGGTGTGTGCCTGTGCGCCATGTAGCTGTGGGGCGAGCGCTGCGTGAGGGCACATGTAAAGAAAAGCGAAGTCGCTCAGTCGTGTCCGAATCTTTGCGACCCCATGGACTGTAGCCTACCAGGGTCCTTTGTCCATGGAATTTTCCAGGCAAGAGTACTGGAGTGGGTTGCCATTTCCTTCTCCAGGGGTCCTCCCGACCCAGGGATCGAACCTGGGTCTCCCACACTGCAGGCAGACGTTTTCCCTTCTGAGCCACCAGGAAGCCCACGTGGACGTCTGACTTTATGGGACACACATGTGCCTATGTGGGTGGGTTCTGTACTGTATTGTGTAGCACTTGGAAATGTGAGGTCCAGAGCCCGCCCTCCTGACTCAAACGCCAGCCCAGGCTTCTCCTGGCTGTCACTCTGAGTGAGCTACTGTCTTGCTCTGTGCCTCCGTTTCCTCGTTTGTAAAAAGCGGAGAATAACAGGCTCTGCCTATAGGCTCACTGAATATTAAATGACTCACTGGAAAGCACTTAGAACATGCCGGGGACACTCAGTGATATTCCCCTTGTTAGCAGGACTCCAGTTAGAGCTTGTGGGTTGATGGGCACATAGGTGGGGCTTTGTCCCAAAATACATGAGTGGGTTCTGGCTTCCTTCACACCGGAAGCAAGTCCCTTCCAGTCTCAGGCCTCAGTTTCCCCCATTTGTCATATGAACAGACCCGTTATTACGGATCACGTGCATGTGTGTGCTCAGTTGTTTTAGTCATGTCTGACTCTTTGCAACCCCATGGACTGTAGCTGGCCAGGCTTCTCTGTCCATGGAGATTCTCCAGGCAAAAATACTGGAGTGGGTTGCCATGCCCTCCTCCAGGTTATTGATCATGATGTGGGTGTAATTTATCTGGGAACCCTTCCTCAGTCAGCTCAGCACCAGACCCTAAAGCAGGAATAGGTGGGTGAGCAGGGAGCCAGAAGGAGGACTTGGGGGCTCACTGTGAGGAAGAACTTTCTAATAGGAGGGGGTGCTTGCACACACCAGAGTGGACCATCCATAGCGAGTGAGCTGCCCGTCCTGGCAGCATCCAAGCAGCAGGTCCATGTAGAAGTTGTATATGTGCATGAGTGTATGCAGGTGTGCACACATCTATGGGTGGGCACACGGGTCTCCATGAGTGCACAGGGTCTGTGTGTGTGTGCACCTCTGTGTAAATGTGTAAGAGCATGTGTGTGACTGGAAATGTGTATGTAAGCAGAGAGGTGAAGGGAGTGGGTCCTGTGTCTGTGAGTGGCATCTATACACATCCGTGTACAGGTGAGTACCTGAGGGACAGGGTGGGGGTAGGGTGCAGGGCAGAGCTGCCCCAGGAGGCCAGGTGGTACCTGTGTCGGTGAATGAGGGCATTGAAGGCCAAGCCGTCACGCCAGCTGGTGGTGAAATTCTGGATGTTTACTTCAGGGTAACTGGCAGCGTGGAAAGGAGAGACAGAGGCAGAGATGGAGAAAGTCCAAAGAAAGATGGAGGGAGGAAGAGAAACAGAGATGGATTGATGGATGGATAGATAGATGATAAAAGATAGATGATAGAAAAGTAGGTAGGTAGACAGATGGGTAGATAGACACAGATGATACATAGATATATGAGGGAAGAAAGGAAGGAAGGAGGGAACAGAGAGATGGAGAGAGCATGGGGAGAAGGAGGAAGAGAGATTGAGAGGGATGGGAGATGAGCAAGAGAGAGAGAGAAACAGAGGGGAGAAGGAAAAGCGAGGGACAGAGAGAGAGAGATACAGGCAGAGGTGGGGAAAGGAAGAAGGGAGAAGAGAGAAGGGAGGGGGGAGGCAGAGATCAGAACAAGGAAAAGCAGATATAGAGGTAAAAACAGATACAGGGAAGAACAGATAGTACTGCAAGACAGACAGGCAGCCCCAGGAGGACAAGAGACAGAGAACGTCCAGTCTCCATCCATGCCTGCCCCTGCCTCCTTCCTCCCCAGGCTGCTCTCCAAAGGGCACTTGAGTTTCAGGCCAGGCCCTTCCCAGCAGAGCAGACAGCTGGGGGACCAGGGGGCATGTCCAGCGGTGTCTGTGTGCCCCTCTTCTCAAACCCACTGAAGATACCAGGACCCTGAACTTCCCAGCCCAGCTGCCTGAGCCCTGGGTGTGCCCTCCTAGGCTGAGCGGGTTACTCTCAAGGGTGTGGGGTGGGGGAGAGATCAGGAATAGGGCCCAGGGGTCCACACAGGTGCACCTGAGGCCTCTAGAGGCGCAGGACCAGGCGGAAGGAAAGAAGGGAGCAGGCCGGGGACAGCCCCCCACCTCCCGGCACTGTTCCCCCGAGGAGTCTGAGTTCTTCCAGACTGTGATACGGGTTACGCTGTGATACGGGATTGTGATACACCAAGGTTGGGAGAGTTTGGTAACTTCTGACACTGAGGACTTGAGCTGCCCCTTGCACCCCTGTCCCGGGGGCAAGCCCAGAGGTGAGGGCCTGGCTCCCCCGAGGACGGAGGACTTACCCAGCTGTCTTCATCTGACACCACAAGAGCAGCGCGTCCTTGGCTGAGCGTGTCTCTCTGTTGTCCTCAGTCTCAATTTTGATGACTTGAATCTGTGAGGGACAAAACATGGCTGCTGGGGTCTGGAGGGCTTGAGGCTGGGAGACACCCCACACACACACCCTGGGGGGACAGAGGAGATGGAGAGCAGCTTCAGGCTCGGGGTGGGGGCACCAACTCTCTCCCCCTCCCCTTCCCCTATGGCATGTCCACTCCCCCCTACCGAGTCTTTCCTACCTGGTCCCTTCTTCACCTGCCTATGCCCCACCCCGGTCCAGCTCCAGCCTCTTCCTTGGGCTTCCAGCTCCCAATCTTGTTGATGACCCCCAATCCAGAGGGACAGTTCTAAGTCTGATGAGGCCTTTTCTCTTGATAAAACTCTCATTTCTCCCCATCTCAGACAGAATAAGATTAAATTGTTAATCACAGATCACCTAGGCCCAGCTGACACTTCTGACTCATCTCCTCCCTGTCTACCCCTTGCTTCCTAGTCTCTAATCATAATGGTCTTTCTGTTCCTGCAACCTGCCAAGTTCATTCCCACCCCAGGGACTTTGCATCTGCTGTGCCCTCTGCCTGGAACGCTCTTCCCTTTCATCTTCATAATCATTCAGCCATCAGCCTCTCTCAGAGTCCTTCTCTGGTCCATATGATCAACTAGATATTTTATATCCCTATTACTGCTTTATCATAATCTATTCTTTTCTGCATAGCTCTTTTTTTTCTTCTCTGCTTAGAACTGGTCCTTTCCCCACACGTCTTGATTGCATACTGATGGGTTTATTTATTATCTGTCTACTGTCTTGCTCCATAAAGACAGAAAATTTGTCTATTTTGTTTCTGAACTGGAGAAAGACTGCCTGGATGCCCATTCCAGCTCCACTACTCAGCTATGTGACCTTCAGCATATTACTTCACCTCTCAGGGCTTCAGTTTCCTCGTTGGTAAAATGGGATAATGGATAATATCAAATTTATGGGGTTATTGTGCATATTAAATGCCAAGTGCTTAGAACAGAGTAAAATCTATATGCATGATGATTGTAATGATGGTGTTGTTTCCTGGAGCCTGTTAGGAATATTTCTGGAATGACTGGATGAGTGGGTGAGGGACAGCCTCTTAAGGCCTCCCTCTGGGGGGCGGAGCGGGGGCTGGGCTGGGCTGGGCTGGGGTCACTTGGGATCACCTGGAAGCGCAGGATGATGGTCCAGACCAGCCCCAAGGTCAGTCGGTGGTTCCCATCCACAATGTCATGTGAGCCCACGTTCTCCAGGTGCACACGCTGCTCCTTCAGGAACTGCAGGGCCTTGTCCACGTTTTCCAGTGAGTGGATCCTCATGCGACCACGCGTCGGCCTCGGCTAGGGCGGCAGGGGCATTAGGAGAGCCAGGGCCTGGCCAAGAGCACGTGCCCTCGATCCCATCTCTTCCAAAGAAGGTCATCTGCATAAATATGCCCCTCTACCCCTGGCCCAGGCCACGCCCCCTCAGCCTTATCAAAGACCCAGGATGCAATCCTTCTAAAGAAGATCTGCCCCACTCATAGCCAGACCCTTTGTAAGCCTTGTCCTTTCAGGACTTATTCTAGTTCCTGGCCCCGCCCCTTCAAGTTAAGCTCCACCTCTAAACTGATAGCCACACCTTTTATCATGAAGCCCTGCCCCCTGCCCACAGTCTTACTCCCGCCCCTTCCATTGGATCTCCGTTCCAGGCCACCACTGTTTTGCCACTAGTCCCATGACCACACCCCTTACTTCCTCCTCTTAAGATTGCTGCCTAGAGCCACGCCCACTCCTTTCAAGCCCCGCCCCACTCCAGGATTCTCCTCTTGTTTACGTTGCTGTTCTGTTGCTTTATTCCTTCCAAGGGTGCTCCTGTTCTATACCGTGTGCCCTTCACGACTTCCAGAGCTCTGGTCCTTTCATCAATCTCTGGCTCCATCAGAACCCTACCCTTTGCAACGAAGTCCCATCCAAGCCCAGAAATACAACTGCAAACCATACAATATGCCATATACATACAAGAGTCCCATTTAATCCCCAGACTCCCGCGACCTCGGCCTCACTTTTCGGATGACAACCACACCCTCTACCATAGACCCCTGAAACAGAGTTCCGCCCCAATTTTATAGCCATGCCTCCTGCTACTGCATAACCAAGCCAAGCCCTTCTAATAAAGCTCCATCCTTCTCCATTAGCCCCCACCCCACTTCCAACAGAGCCCCACCCAAGCCCAGAGTCCCTCCCCTAAGGACAGCCTGCTCTTAGACAGAATCCCACCTCTGTTCCAAGCCAGACCCCCAGGCTCTCCCCAGCTAAGCTCCAGCCTGTGCCATGGCCCCGCCCACCCGAATGAGGCGTCTTTAACCCACTCAGCCTTTCTAGTAAGCTCCATTAGCCTGGCCCTGTAGTAGCCCAGCCCGAGACCCCAGGGCGGCCCCCTTCCCCCAACCCTTCTGCCCCCCTCACCAGCTGCTCCCCGGACAGCACTTCCAGCAGCCGCGTGAGCACGAAGCCATCCCTGAGGTCCGTATAGAGGTCCCCGATGTGGCAGCCAACGCGGGCGAGGTGCGAGTTCACCCACTTGGTGAAGGTTTTCTTCTGCACGGCCTCCCGCTCATCTGAAGGACAGGTCCTGATGAGCCCCCAACTCCTCCAGGAACTCCGCCTTCCAGTTTCACCCCAGCCCTCCAAGGCTCAGGCAGTTCTTGCCCAGGCCAGCTCTCTGCAACTATCAAGTCTGTGCAGGTGCTTCCTCCTATCTGGGACGCCCTCACCCCCCTGTCCTTTAAAATTTTCCTGAGCTATCAGTTCCACAGGAAAGCTGTCCTGTATCTTACCCTAGTCATCTCTGTTCATTCGTTCAGTAAGTATTCGAGCGCCCACTATGCGCCTGGCACTCTTCTAGGCTCTGAATTCAGCCAGAGCCCTTTCCTGGCAGAGCTCAGTTTAGTGGGGGCACAGATAATAAGCTGGGGCTTCCCCGGTGGTTCCGCTGTAGAGAATCCGCCTGCCAATGCAGGAGACGCATGTTCGATCCCTGGGTCAAGAAGATCCCGTGGAGGAGGAAATGGCAACCCACTTGAGTATTCTTGCCTGGGAAAATCCCATGAACAGAGGCGCCTGGTGGGCTACAGTCCTAGGGTTGCAAAGAGTCGGACACGACTGAGTGCCTAAGCACACAGATAATCGTCTAGGGAGTCACTGAGGGTTAAGGAGGGAGGAGAGGATGAGAGTTGGGTCTTAGGACTATCCCTGGCTGCAGCGGGGAGGGTACATCCGAGAGGGCAAGAATGGCAGCCTGGAGCCCAGGGAGGAGACTGGGGAAAGGACTCAGGAGAGACAGGAAGAGGCTGGACCAGAGCCGACACTGAGGGGATGGGAGCGGGGGCATCTTGGAGTTATTTAGAGATGAAAAAGTAAGGGCTAGCCACTGACAGGCTGTGGGGGAAAGAAGAGGAAGGACTGTGCTAGACTGCATGCTCCCTGAGCACAGGAACCACATCTTCCCCTCTGTTGTCGCTAGAATGTCAGGTTTCCCCCATCCCTGGGGCAAGGAGTAAGGCTTGGGATGACGTAAGGGGGAGGTGCAAGGTGAGGAGGATGTGTGCAACTTCTCCTTGGTGCTTACAAAGAAATTGTTTGGGACCTCTCTTCCAGTCATTTCTTTTTTAAATAACAGACTTAGTATGAGCTATAATTCCCATACTATAGAATTTGTCCCTTTAATTGTAAATTCAGTAGTTTTTAGCATATTCACACAGTTATACGACCATCACCTCTATCTAATATCAGAACACTTTTAACACCCCCAGAAAAGAAACCCCATACTGGTTAACAGTCACTCCTCATTCCACCTTTTCCTAACTCTAGGCAACCATTCATCCATTTTCTGTCTCCAAGGATCTTCCTACTCTGGACACTTCACATAAATGGGATCATACAACATGTGGCCTTTTGTGTCTGACTTCTTTCACTCAGCATAACATTTTCAAGGTTCATCCATGTTGTGGAATATAGCAGTTTTTTATTCCTTTTTACAGCTAAGTGATATTCCATTGTGCATGCGTGGGTGCTAAGTCACTCAGCTGTGTCCCATTCTGTGTGACCCTACGGATTGTAGCTCCCCAGGATCCTCTGTTCATGGAGATTCTCCAGGCAAGAATCCTGGAGTGGGTTGCCTTGCCTTCCTCCAGCTGATCTTCCTGACCCAGGGATCAAACCCATGTCTCTTCTGCCTCCTGCATTGGCAGGTGGGTTCTTTACCATTAGCACCACCTGGGAAGCCCCAGTAGTCCATTGTATGGATATGCCACATCCTACTTGGTCAGGGAACTAGATCCCACATAACTAAGGCCAAGTTCAGCCAAATAAATAAGAGATAAAATTTAAAAATAAATGTTTTCTGAATATACAGAAACAACCCAGTGAATCCAAATGGCATACCTTGTTTGTTTAAATGTGGGTTGTGTGCTTTTGGATGGGATGGGGGACCTGTGTGAACACATGATCACTGATCACACGTAAGGAAGTGATGATGGAAGATATGTAAATGGGGGTGTTTGCTTATCCTGCTTTCTGACAGCCAATGCCCATAGCAGACTGCAGTTCATGCTGAGGCCCGAGTGGAACTTGAGCGCATCCCCTGAGAGGGACAGAATGAGGGCAACTGGATTCAACTCTGCCTTTACTAACGACAGGCTATGTTGGGAAAAGCCCAAAGCCCATCCCTCCTCTTTGAGCCTCCGTTTTCCCATTTCCAAAATGAGGGGTTTAGACTAGGTCAGGGTTACTTCAGTGGGCTCTGGGGGACCCTGGGTGTTTGGGAATGCATGCTTGGAAAACAAGGACTCGGGAGAATAGTTTTTAATTTTGTAACTTCATTTCCGTGATCTGCAAAGAAAATTAATAGTAACACATCCTGGATGGACTTCCCTGGTAGTCCAACAGAGGTGACACGGGTTCGATCCTTGGTCCAAGAAGTTTTCACATGCTGCAGGGCACCTAAGCCCACAAGCCGCCACTAGGGAAGTCCCCTCTCCTAGAGCCTGTGCTGCGCAACGAGAGGCCACTGCAGTGAGAAGCCTGTGCACCAAAGTAGCCTCCGCTCACCGCAACTAGAGAAAGCCTGAGCTCAGCAACGAAGACACAGCAGCGCAGCCAATAAATAAATACTCTTTTAAAAAAGAGGGAGAAGAAACACATCCTGGACTCTCTATGATGGTGACTTTATAGAGAACTATGCAGTGAGATTTGGGAGTTTGTGATTACAGTCGCGTTAGCATGGAGCTGGGGTCCAGAACTGAAATGCCCACCGCGGCCAGGCGGGCTCCACAAGGGAGAAAGAGGCCCTGGTAAAAGGGAGCAGCAGCCACACAGCCCTGCACGACTGGAGCCTCACGGGAGGGAAGGCCCGGGATAGCTCACGAGGTGCCAGAAATCTGGAGACAAGAAGCTCCCTATTTTTAAATGCTGGCAACTGATTTACGTTTTTACAAAACACAGTGGGGTTGAAACCAAATGTGTCCTAGAGTGCCAGTTCTGGCCCGAGTTGACGTTGAACGTTGACTGTGCCGGTGAGCACGTGCAGCTACCTCGCCGGGTGCCTTCCACCTGCCCCTCTGGTGCCACCTCCTCTCTGGTGCACCTGCTCTGAGCCCAGGGAGGCTGGCCAGGGTGGACCACGGGAACGGGCTCTCCAGTCATTAGAGGCCTCAGACTTTTGGTTGGGCTTGGCTAGCAGGAGATGAGAGGAGAGAGAACGGGCTGAGGGATGCGTTTCCTCCCCAGGGTTTCCTAGTGCTAAAGAACCCGCCTGCCAATGCAGGAGACGTAAGAGACACAGGTTCGATCCCTGGATCAGGAAGATCCCCTGGAGGAGGGTATGGCTTNATCCCTGGATCAGGAAGATCCCCTGGAGGAGGGCATGGCTTCCCTGGTAGCTCAGAGGGTAAGGAATCTACCTGCAATGCAGGAGACCTGGGTTCGATCCCCAGGTCAAGAAGATCCCCTGGAGAAGGAAATGGCAACCCACTCCAGTATTCTTGCCTGGGAAATCCCATGGACAGAGGAGCCTGGTGGGCTACAGTCCATGGAGCTGCAAAGAGTTGGACGTGACTGAACAATGACTAATACTTTCACTTTCTTTGCTTGACTAGGCTTCCCCCGGGGCCTGGTGGCTTCCTACAGCCCCCGCTCCTGCTGGGGGTGCCTCTCTGCCCTCTCAGCACTCCCCGGGATCTCTCCCAGTCCCCAGGATCTCCACACATCTGTAAATAGTCCCTTCATTGAATTCTCCTCAATTTTACCCTTTTGAGGGGCCCATCTGCTTCCTCCTGGTCCTCTAGCTGCCACACACATCTTTGGATTGTCAAGACTCTAAGTCAGATTACAATTGTTCTTTGTCTGCCATTGTGCTCATACTATTTTGCCATTTATATATTCTTCCCCACTGTGGTAGTCACCAATTTCAAGTGAAATGCAAGCCTGGGACTTCCCTGACAGTCTCGTGGTTAAGACTCTGCATTTCCAGTGCAGGGGGTGAGGGTTCCGACCCTGGTCAGGGAACTAGGTCCCCACATGCTGTGCAGTGTGACCAAAAAAAATTTTTTTAAGTGAAATGCATGTCCTTAGAATAAGAGTTTAATTTTTTCACTTATTTAATACATCAAGATTTTCATAGAGCAGGGACTAACTACTCCCTTAACTATACTGGTTTCCAAGAAAGGATAGAGACAATATATAAACGATACATTGGATATTAGTCTGGGAAAAGTGAGGAAGTCGGAAATACCAGGTATTGATGGAAATGTGGGAATATCATAATCCTCATGCCAGCTGGTGGGGCAGCCATTGTGTTAGTCACTCAGTCGTGTCTGACTCTTTGGGACCCCAGGGCTTTTAACCAACAGGCTCCTCTGTGCATGGAATTCTCCAGGCAAGAATACTAGAGTGGGTGGCCATTCCCTTCTCCAGGGGAATCTTCCAGACCCAGGAATCAAACCTAGGTCTCCTGCATTGCAGGCAGATTCTTTACCATCTCAGCCACCAGGGAAGCCCACTCTGAAGACAATCTGAGTCAAATTAAATTAGTGTGTTCCCTCTGTGGGCCAATAATTCTTTCCCTACGTATATGTCCTGTAATCTTTCCCACATGTTTTTTTTTAATGTTTATTATTTATTTATTTGGCTTCACCAGGTCTTAGTTGCAGCATGTGGGATCTAGTTTCCTGACCAGGGACTGAACCCAGATCCCTGCATTGGGAGGGCAGGGTCTCAGCCACTGGACCACCAGGGAAGTCCCTCCACACTGGTTTATAAGGAGCACACATGATGATGCCTCAGCAGTGCTGTTTGGTGGGAGGGGACAGGGACAGGTTGAGGGCAGGAGACAGCCTGGTTGTCCATCACTGGGAACGTGGAGCATGGTGGATACACACCATCAACTCCAGGCAGCAGTCAGACTAGAGGCACACAGAGCCACATGGATGAGTCTTGAGGCTCTACGGCATAGCGCTGAATGAGAACATGATGCCAAAAATGCAATCGAGACCATGATAAAACATGCATTGATTAGCCATACCTGTATGTACAAACCCACACATATAGGGCTCCCAGATTT